AGCATTGTACTTGTTATCCAAGTACATATCTGTGTAAGCCTGGTTTTTCTTCACATATACCAACAAAAAAATACGCATGAAGAGTCTGAATTCAGAGACAGATAAGAGAATTGACCTGTCCTCTATTAAACCAGACAATAGATTTATAAAAATGTGAAACAATGTCACTCTTATCATTAACTTGTCTCATTTGTAAAATATAGTAATTTTTCATAAAAATATTTTTTGACATATAATTGGTTATCATTATTTTAAATGACTTAATACATAAACATGTAAAATTTAATAGTTTCAATTTCTAATATGTAAGTATAATAGACAGGATCCATATAAATAAAAATTCCTTGGAGTCCTAAACATTGTTATATGTAAATGAGTCCTGAAAACAAAAACTTTGTGAATTACTGATGTAAAGGATAAAAGTAATGAGAAGGCGTTCATGAATAAAGCAGGTTTGATAACCACAGGATACTGCGGATAGACGCTTACTAGTACAGTCATATCTGAGATATTGCATGTTAGGTTTCAGGCCACTGAAGTAAAGTGAATGTCAAATAAAATGAGACACAAATTTTTGTTTTCCCATGGCATATAACAGTTATGTTTACACATAACTATAATCTATTATGGGAGTCCTGGTGTGGCACTGAAGGAGAAGGCACTGGATCACAAGGTCAGTTTGCGTCACAAGGTCAGCAGTTCAAACTCACTGATTTGGTAAAGTGGCAGCAGTAACGGACTCAGGCCTAGCAATGATTGTGAGGTTGGCCCATGATCGGGCAGTGTTTCATTCTGTTGTGCATAGGGTCGCTATAAGTCAATACTGACTCAATGGCACCTAACAACAACAACAACATGACTCAGAACTCAATGACACCTGATAACAACAACATAGTCTGTTATGGAATCCTAGTGTGGCACTATAGGATAAGCACTATACCGCAAGTTTGGTTTCAACTGCAAGGTCAGCAGTTCAAACTCACCAGAGGTTCCTAGGAAACACTATACAGGGTCGCTATCAACCTGTATGCTGAGCAAATCATCCGAGAAGCTGGGTTCTATGAAGAAAAATGTGGTATCAGGATTGGAGGAAGACTCATTAACAACCTGTGATATGCAGATGATACAACCTTGCTTGCTGAAAGTGAAGAGGACTTAAAATACTCATAAAGATCAAAGACCACAGCCTTTGGTATGGGTTGTACCTCAATGTAAAGAAAACAAAAATCCTCACCACAAGACAAATAACATCATGATAAATGCAGAAAAGATCGAAGTGATTAAAGACTTAATTTGCATGGATCCACTATTATTAACACTGATAGAAGCAACAGCTAACAAATCAAACTACATTAAGCAAATTACATTAGGCAAGTCTTCTACACAAGACCTTTGTTGAAGAGCAAAGATGTCAGTTTGAGACTAAGGTGAGCCTGACCCAAGCCAGGGTGCTATTTTCAGTAACGTCATATGCATATGAAAGCTGGATAGTGAATAAGGAAGACCTTAGAAGAATTGAGATGCATTTGAGTTATGGTGTTGGAGAAGAATATTAAAAATACTCTGCACTGCTAGAAGAACAAACAAATCTGTGTTGGAAGAAGTATAGTGAGAATGGTCCTTAGAAGCCAAGATGGCCAGACTTCGTCTCTCATATTTGAACATATTATCAGGAGGGATCAATCCCTGGAGAAGGACATCATGCTAATAAAGTCATGTTGTTGTTGTTGTTGTTAGGTGCCATCAAATCAGTACTGACCCATAGCAACCTTATGCACAGCAGAACGAAACACTGCCCAATCCTGGGCCAACCTCACTATTGTTGCCACGTTTGAGCCCATTGATGCTGCCACTTGGCCAATCCATCTTGTTGGGGGTCTTCCTCTTTTTCTCTGACCCTCCACCTTACCAAACATGATATCCTTCTCCAGTGACTGGTCCCTCCTGACAATATGTCCAAAGTATGAGAGACGAAGTTTGGCCATCTTGGCCTCCAAGGAGTGCTTTGGCTGCACTTCTTCCAAAACAGATCTATTGGCTCTTTTGGCACTCCAGGACACTTTCAATATTCTCCTCCAACACTATAAACTCAAAAGCATCAATTCGTCTATGGTCTTCCTTTTTGAGGATGACAAAAGACTGGACAGTGTTTACTTCTGTTGTGTATGGGTTCAATATGAGTTGGAACCAGCTAGCTGGAATCTAAGAAAAATAGAGTGTGCAGATGAAGTGCTGTAGGGTAAGCACTGTGCTGCTAACTACAAAGTCGGTAGCTCAAACCAATCAGTTGCTCATCAGGAGAAAGATGAAGCTTTCTGTTTCAGTAATGATTTGTTGCCTCAAAAACCCTTTCTGAGTCAGAACCTACTCAATGGCACACACAATAGGACAGGAAAGAGTCCTGAAGCACTCCAAATATGGTGGTGGTGGTGTGTCGTGGAGTCAGTTCCGACTCATAGCGACCCTGTACAGGGTTTCCAAGGCTGTAAATCTTTACAGGAGCAGAATGCCTCATCTTTCTCCCATGGAACAGCTGGTAGTTTCGAACTGCTGATCTTGTGGTTTGCAGTCCGAATCGTAATCACTATGCTACCAGAGCTCCTACTCCAAATATAATGGTCATATAAAAAGAAAGAGTCAGAAAGGGGACTGGTAGACATTAACCAGTGGATTGCAGATAAATTAGAAGTGAATGTGTTAAGAAGGGAATGGGCAACTGAGATGAATGCTGCTTAGAATGTAAGTGTCATGTTTGGATTTGGCAATATGGATATCTTCAATGACCTTGTAAAAACAATCTCAAAAGAATGGTGAGAATTGAGGTCTTATTGGAATGTGCTAAGCAGAGAATGTGATCTGAGGATAGACTGTCATCAGAGACAATTTTTTTTTCATGCAGTTTTGCTATAAGAGCAGCAGCAAAAGGGTACACAGTATTTGCAGTCACAGTGCAAGCAAACATTAATAAATATGTTTTCTGTACAGTATTACTGGAAGTCCTAGGGTCTGTTTTATTTTTGGGGTGTTTTGGGGATGTGCTTCCTTTGCACAACCTAGTTTAAATTCTATAGACTTTCCAGTGACTTGACTCCCTGCTTATGGTACTGACTGAGATAATTTGCATAATTTTTGGTTCATTGCTTTGAAAAAATAAGCTGTTTTGTTTTTCTCCCCTTGTTATCAGCTAAATTGGTAAGGTTCACATTTTGAAGGGGAAGTGTGTTTTTATTCTAAGATATAACATATTATATGGGAAAGCGTGATGGGGAAAAAAGAAAGAGGAAGAAGTTTAAGATTACAGGGTAGTAGAGAAAGCAGATTGTGTATTACCCTTAGCAATACTTGCATGGGCTAATCCTGTATGATAATAGGAGTTTGCTTCAAATTCCAGCTATGCAGCATATCAGTTTAAGAAAATCACTAAATTATTATTGGCAATTGCTTTCTTTGTTGCAAAACCAATTGCTTAATCTAGTCAATCTCTCGATTATTTTGAAGGTCAAAGTTGTGAAGTGTGGTGGAATCCGAATCGGTTCGACTCATAGCAACACTGTATAGAGTTTTGGAAGAGGGGCTGATGGGTTTGAACTGCTGACCTCTACTGTTGTTGCCGTCGAGTCGGTTCCGACCCATAGTGACCCTGTACAGGGTTTCCGAGGGTGTAAATCTTTACGGGAGTAGAAAGCCTCATCTTTCTAGTATTTATACTATAGAAGCACACCTTGTTTTCAGTGATGGGAACGTGGGTAAAGTGCCCACAGACCGACCAAGATAATATGATAGCACTGAGAAGTACAAATGAGAAAAAAACAGTAATAAATATATTCTTTATTGTTGTACTCCTGGTGTGGCACTGTGGGTTAATGTGCTGGACTGCAAAGCTGTTTGAACTGCAAGGTTGGCAGTTCAAGCTCACCAGCTGCTCCTTGGAAACCCTATACAGGGTTGCTATGGGTCGGAATCGACTCAACGGCACTTCACAATAACAACAACAACCCAAAGCCAATGCCTTCCGGTGGACTCAGAGCGACGCTACAAGGTAGGGTCGAACTGCCCATAAGCTTTCCAAGGTTGTAATTATTAGAGAAGCACACAGTCGTATCTTTCTCCCACAGAGCAGATGATTGTTTTTGTTATGTACCTTCCAGTTGGATCCAAATCACAGTGACCTGTATAGGGTTTCTAAAGAGCTACTGGTGGGTTTGAAGGGCAGTCTTTCAGTTAGTGGTGGTTATGTGCTGTGGAGTCAATTCCGACTCATAGCCACTCTGTACAGGATTTCCGAGGCTGTGAATCTTTATGGGAGCAAAAAGACTCCTCTTTCTCCCGTGGAACAACTGGTAGTTTCGAACTGCCGACCTTAAGGTTCGCAGCCTTATTCTTAACCAGTGTTTATCCTACAGCACCACCAGGGATCCTTTTAAAGGCTCCCTGTTATTGTTGTTGTTGTTTTTGCTACGTGCCATGGAGTCGCTTCCCACTCATGTTGCTAAAGATTCATATAGACCCTGTATAGGGTTTCCAAGCAGGGGCTGGTGGGTTTGAACCACTGACTTTGTTGTTAGCACTGCTTATCCTACAATGCCACACTAGGACTCTCTTCTGACTCAGTGGCCCTGTATAGGGTTTCCAAAGAGTGGCTGGTGGGTTTGAACCACCGACCTTTTGATTAGCAATCCAGTGCTTATCCTACAGCGCCACACTAGCACCAATTAACAAAAAGAATTTACGAGATGTTCCGCCCAAAGACTAGCACGTTTACAATCCGCAATCTTACCTTAATGGTCCTAGAAAGTCTCCAGGAATAAACAAGCACGTGGGCAGAAATTGAGTTTTTGTGCTTTAGCTTTGGTGGGTGGAGCCAGTTAGGAACTGGTCCAACAGCTGAGCTGTGTGGGTGGGACTGCTGCACCTTTGGGCCCTGGGTAGTCGTCTGGCGCTTTCCCTCGGCAGTAACCCGGCATTGCCCTGGAATTTGCGTTCGTTCCTAAAGGGAAAAGATGGTGGAAGCGTGGTATATGGACGAATCCCCGGACGATCAACGGAAACCGCACCGACTGGAGCCCAACCACCCGGTTGGCTTGGAGCAACTGCGTCAGCTTGGTGTATTTTACTGGAAAGTATGTTGGAAGCAAAGCAAGGCGGCAGAGTTCTGGGAATGGGACTAGATTAAAACTTGACCTTTCTAACCCTACCAAACAATAGTAGATAGGCTTGTATTGTGTGTAATAGGGAAGTGCCTACGCGCCGCCTCCACCAGTAAACTGCTCCAGGAGGGGCGCCTGCAGCAAACCCGCAGACTCCCGGGCGGGCGTTTAGAGACTGTCTCGTTAGGTTCCTACCCCCCAAAACACCACCCCATTCCCCTCCTGAAATGTCCGCCCATTCCCCACTAGTTTTCTGTGCCCACCCTCGCTGGCACGTGAGCGGGCTACAACGACCTAGATGGCGCAGGCGCACCTCTAGTGTGGTTGAGCAAAGCGGCGGCTATCAACCTTTCTCCAGATCGCGCTGCGCATGCTCACAGCAGTGGGGCTGAGTCTGACAGCCACGGTGGGAGGGAGTGGGCCTGACTGGAGTTGAGGTTGGAGGACCTTTACTTTGTGTGTAAATTGCTTCGGGGCCTGGGGTGTCCTTGTGTTAGTGTGACACTCTGGTCTGTTAGCTGATGCCCTAGAGCATCTGTGTTCGGACTAGGGGTTGTGTTGTTGTTAAGTGCCGTTGCGTTCAGTCGTTTCTTAGCCATAGCGTCCCTGTATAAGATATCTGAGGAGCGCCTGGTGAGCTTGAACTGCTGACCTTGAGGTTCAAACCGATTTTGCAGTCCAGCGCTTTAACCCACAGCGTCAAACCAGGAGTTCTTGAGTTAATGCACTGGACTACAAAGTCGGTTTGAAACATAAGGTCAGCAGTTCAGGCTCACCAAGCACTCCTAGGAAACCCTATACTTAACAACAACAATGAAGACGCTGAGTTTAATCTCCAATATCTGTAGATCATTGGTGTTATTGTACAAAAACTTGGCTTGCGCTCAAATGTATGTAATCTTGAACATTTACCTAATATTTTTACTGATCATCTCAGCTTCCTTATTTTTAAATGGTTATGAAATACAAGGATTTGTGGTGTGGCTCTGTGGGATAAGCGTTGGACTGTGAACCACAGGTCGGTAATTCTAACACACCAGCTCCTCCTCTGAAATCCTGTACAGCATTGTTATGAGTCAGAATGGACAACCCTTAACAACTATGAGATACAAAGGCTTATTGCAATGGTGAGGCCCAGGTGAGGTCTAAGAAGTTGAGAGGTGATTCTGAATCAAATCTCTGGGTGGGATTTTAAATTTATCCAATCTGCATTTTGAGTGATCAAAATGAATACAGTGTTCCAAATATTGTGTGCTGTTTGACAGTAAAATTTAACTCCGAATCCAGTGTTTTATCTGGCAACTTTACCCTAGTTGAAACTTTCATCGGAGTTCTAATGTTGACTGATCACATGTAGCTGCTGGAAGCGGTGGAGAAGCAAACAGAAGTCAAAACAAAACAAAATACCCCAGGAAGATTCTAGCCAAGGACACTAGTGGTGGTGTAACTGCTCTAACAACTGCACAGTTGGTGTTGAGTAGATTCCAATTTATAGTGACCCCTTGTGTGTCAGAACTCCATAAGGTGTTTCTTTTTTCAATGTCGTCTGTGGTTTTGTTGAAGGTTGCACATAGCAGTTTAAATTCTCATTCAGCAATGTCTACACAAATTGTTTAATAATACTGGTTACATTCTTCCCAACATGTGAACTTTCTCATTGTTTCTGTTCTAGTAGTTCTGTTTCCATGAATCAGGTGTCCTTGCTTGCCCCTTTACCTTCACATCTTTGTTTTAAAAATAATTGTTAACTGTTCAGCCTAATGTAGATGATTTTTTCAAAAGGAGCATAGTACTCAGGGGTGATCTTTAAAAATTGTTAGCCAGTCTGTTATTTTGCTAAATGGTGACCTCAGGTTAGGTTTGGTTCAAGGTTTAAAGATTGCCTCAGGGCAGTAGTCTCAGGGAATCCTCCAGTGCCATTGGCCCAATAAGTCTGGATAGAAAAAAAATAAAAAATAAAAAAAATTGAGTGTTATTCCACATTATTCTTCCATTCTATCAAGATACTTCTCTTGTGGCCCTGATCAGAACAGTTGGTTTTGATAACCCAGGCACCATCTAGTTCTTCTAGTCTCAGGGTGGATGACTCCATACTCCATAGGGTTTTCTGTGGCTGGCTTTCAGAAGTAGATTGCCAGATCAGTATGAGTTGGAACTGGCTCCATGGTACTTAATGACAACGAAGGTCTATTTCATAACGGAAGTCCCTATTTTAGATATCACCTGATCTACTTTAGATAAGCAGTTAAGTACTTGACTACAAGACATAAAGTTGACATTTTGAACCCACCCAGAAGTGCCTGAGAAGATAGGTTAGGGAATCTGCTTCCAAAAGCAGTTTTAACCTGTATACACTGAGCCATCATCAGTTGAAATCGAGTAAATGGAATTAGCAACAGCAATTAACAATAACATGACAACTAAGAAAAGGGAAATCTTAGATAATTGAAGAGAAAAGTAGTAGTCCTAGATTGTACATTCTATAAAGTAGAGGAACTTAACTCTGGGCTACCTACCAATGCCAAGTAGTGCTTTTTCCCATTATAAAGTGCTTTCTGTCTAAGATCAACATTATTTTAATTTTGTGTATATGTTAATGTTTACTTAGTATTTTGTCTTTTGCTGGGCTAAGAACTAAGTACCATAACCTACTAGAAGGTGCCAACTTTAAAGCAAGAAATGGTTTATAGTTTCTACTGCAAGAGGGAAATAAGTTTTGTTATATAATAAAATTTAATATATCCACAATCCAAACAGCCAGAAGGGTCAGATTACTTTTCTTTGGGCTTTCTTCATTGTGCATTTGAGAATTTAAGAGCAAGAATGAGATTACAGGTCAACTTCTAACTGCATCCAAAGAATAAAATAAGACTTATTTTAAATGACAGCTATTGAGTTATTCCATGGGGTCAAATTCAGTTTCTTCTACCTTTTAGTTCTGCTCTAGATATGTGTCAAAGGGTTTTCATGATTACATTATGTTCGCTGATTTTAGTGTCCTGTGCATTTTATTTTATTCCCACCCCCAATGGAAATTGGTAGTATATGTATCCTTTACTAATGGAAATAACCATTTTGGATCAGTGGGAGCAGATATAGGGTATTTTTTGCATATCTGTTGTTAGCGACATAGCAAACTCAAACACACACCCAGTTGTATGTCAGATTGTTTTAAATGGTGGATTTCTAAATTTTGTAGCCATCTTTGTAGAAATTAATATATTGATGACTAGCACTTTTAGATATTCTGGAGTTTGCGTTTCAGTAAAAAAAAAACAAAAAACAGTTGTTGTATAGTCAATTCCAATACATGGAGACACCATTTGATTCAGAAGCAGATTACAAGTCCCTTCTTCTGAGGGAACTCTGAATAGCTGAATCACTAATCTTTTGGAAAGGGTAGTGTGGTAATAAAAAGTGTATTTCATTTCAACACAAGGCAAAGTATGTGAAGGTTATTCACAATACTTTTAAGTTGTTGTTAAGTGCCATCAAGTTAATTCTGATTCATAGCATCTCTATATAGGGTTTACAAGGAGTAGCTAGTGGGTTTGAATTACGGGGTCTTACAGTTAGCTGTCCAGTGTTTATCATACAGTGCCACACCAGGACTCCATAGTTTTAAGTAGGATTTAAGATTAATCCTGGCTGGTAGTGGTTATGTGCCATGGAGTCAGTTCTGACTCATAGCGACCCTGTACAGGGTTTCTGAGGCTGTAAATCTTTACGGAAGTAGAAAGCCTCATCTTTCTCCTGCGGAGAGGCTGGTAGTTTCAAACTGATGACCTTAAGGTTCACAGCCCAATTTGTAACCATTACGCTACCAGAGCTCCCTGGTGGCACAGTGGCTAACTAAGTGCTTGGTTGCTAACCAAAAGTTTAGCAGTTTGAAGCCACCAGCCATTCTGCAGGAGAAAGATGTGGCTGTCTGTTTCCTTAAAGATTACTGCCTTGGAAACCCTATAGGACAGTTCTCTGCCAGAAGGCTTTACATATAAAGTGTTATTGAAATTGAACTGTAACAATTAGAATTTTGATAAATGAAAATAAGTGAAAGGCATAGGAAGCAGAATGGGTAATGTATGGGAACTGAAACATCAGATGTGTTCAAGGACTAGCAAATACTCCTATTTTGTTAAAATGTTAAACCAAACCAAACCCACTGCCACTGAATTGGTTCTGACTCCTGGAGCCCCTCTGTAGGGTTTCTGTACATCTTTACAGTAGCAGACAACTTCATGTTTCTCTCAAGGACTGACTGATGTGTTTGAAATAATGACCTTTGGTTAGCAGCCCAATGCCTAACTCCCAGCACCGCCAGAGCTGTTTGTGTTAGGGCTTATGGGTTAGAGGAATAGAGACAGATAGGAATAAAAAAAGGCAACTGAGATGCTGAACATAGAAGTCCTCTCATGCCAGCATAAGGAATTGGAGTTTTTACCTAACAGCTTTAAAGAGCATCAGACATTTTGGATAGGGAAATAAAATATTCAAAAAGATGCCATAGAAAGATCAATTTGACTTGCAGAGTAGATTAGGTGTAGAGAAACAACACAGGTGAGAATAACAAGCAGTTCCTGGGATACAAATGGCAGGGTTTAACTCTATAAAGCCTTATTAATGTTAAAATTTTGAGACACATACAATGGTTTGTAATAACAAATGGGTGTTATTTTGTGGTGCGCATGGTAAAAAATAAATAAATAAATGACATGATGGTGTCTGAATGTCTTCTGACTTCTCTGTCTTAACTGGGGAAGGAGTTTCAAACATCAAAGTTAACATCAGCCCAAGGCTGATTCCTTTGATGCTGAGGTCAGATGTGCTTCCACCCCCTCCTCCTTTACCATTTCTGACACAGCCGACCCTCCTAGGACACTTTGCATCCCTGCTGTCTTTGCTAATTCTTTGTAGTGGCCATGCTGAACTCACTGACCATATTCATGATTATGGGGTTTATTAGGGAAGTTGTTAGGTGCCATCAGGTCATTTCTGACCCATAGCGACCCTATGTACAACAGAATGACACACCGCCTGTCCTTTGCCATCTTCACAATTGCTGCCACGCTTGAGCCCATTGTTGCTGCCACTGTGTCAATCCATTATGTTAAGGGTCTCCCTCTTTTTCACTGACCCTCCACTTTACCAAGCATGATGTCATTCTCCTTGGACTGAGCTCTCCTGATAACATGTCTGAAGTTATGTGAGACATATGTAATGGGTTACAATTTGGGATCAGAAATGCTCAGGACACAGGCCTTTTGGTCAGGACAGCCTCATCCCAGCCATACCTGAAAGCAGGACTTACCCTGATCCTTGGCCTCTCAGCCATGAGACCCCCATGGCCTCTGTCTTGCTCGGTAAATGTTTCTAAGCTCCTTTAGTGCTGCTGGTAAATGCCCAAAGGTTATGCCACTTTGCCACAAGCCTCATCCATAAGACACAGTTCCAGCTCTGTGGATTAGCAAACCTTGCTTCCCCAATTAAATGCCTGGAAGTACCCCATTCCACAAGTAAGACTCTGCCTAAAGATATTCAACTTTACTTGCTCTGTGGGCCAGGAACACACCACTCTGCCCTATGCTCTAGCTCTTGGTTCTGTGGCTGCTGCTCCTCCACCTCTTCTCTGGTATTATTGTTTTCTGTCCCTGAATTGAGGAAGTACAGTGTATAGGAATCCTGGAGTCCAAAGGAGGCACTCCATTCCTAGCCCTTCTTTCTTGATAGTAGTTAAAGCCCTTCTCCTGCTTCTGAGATGGCTTGCTGTATACCCAACATGATGGCAAAAATCAGCTAATCCCTACGTTAAAGTTATGAGTTTTTACAATCATAATTAACGTTGTTAAGAATGAATCACAACAGAATGTTTTAATCCTATCAGCATCTTACCCCACCTTCTGTTGCCCAGACCCATCAGGAAAAAAAGACATATTCCCAGTCTGCATGGTCCCACTCAATTGTTTGGTGGGAGTTACAAAAACCATAGCTAATCAAATCCTATTAAATAATTCACTATAACATGCATATTAAAATATTACTGTATTATTATGTTAAAGATATTTTACTGTGACAAAGTGTTTCTTCAATATTTTTTCTATACAGAAAGGTACACTATATACTATAAAATAGGACATTTTACTGTTACTAGATATGAACTGTACCTAACTGTTCCAACTTAATGTACACGTTTTGCTTAAAGACTAACTTAAGAACGGAACTCATGATCCAAGGAATGATTGTAGTTTGGTGTTGGAGAAGTTTCAGATGATGAGAAATGTACCAAGACTTGGAGAAGTTTCAGATGATGAGAAATGTACCAAGACAGGATGGGAAGGAGAATTAGTTTATGGTTGACAGAGGGAAAAGGTGATAGATTTGGAGTAAAGAGAATGTGACCTCCTTTTTGTTGTTGTGTAAACTCTTTCAGTTGGATGCTGACAAATATGAGAATGATCCTGAATTAGAAAAGATCCGAAAAGAGAGAAACTACTCCTGGATGGACATAATAACAATATGCAAAGATAAACTACCAAATTATGAAGAAAAGGTAAGGGAGCTCTTTAAGGGAGCAGAAAGCCTTATCTTTCTCCTGTGGAGCCCTAGTGGGTTTGAAATGCTGACCTTGTGGTTAGCATCCCAGTGCTTACCCTACAGCACTACCAGGATTCCTAAATTATTTGGAAGCAGAATATAATTTATTACTAATAAACACAGCACTGGCATTTTCTTTCTTCTTCTCTTTGTTTCCTTTTTTCAGGTCTTTATCTGGATTTTATATCAGGGTATTCTCATTTTATGCTGATCTCATAAAATGAGGGGAATTATTCCTTTTTCAGTATTTTGAAAGCATTTGTGTATAATTGCTATTATTTCTTCTTTCACTGTTTTCTAGATTTATCAATGAAACCCTATAAGCCTGTTGGATTTTTTTTGTATGAAGGATTTTAGCTATGAGTTAAATTTCTTTAATACATATAAGCTATTCTATTTAAGTTTTCTGTTTGTTCTTTGAGTGAGTTTTGGTGGTGGTGTTCAGTGCCATCGAGTTGCTTCCAACTCATATCAGCCCTGTATAAGGTTTCCGAGAAGTTGCTAATGGGTTTGAACCACTCACCAGTTCTTATCCTACAGTGGTGTCTTTCCAGGAATTTGTTGATATCATCTGAATTTTAATATCTATTGTCATAAAGTTATTCAGATTATTCTCTTTCCATCCTTTTAATATATATATATATATAATCTGTACTGTTCTCATCTCATTCCTGGTACTGTGAATTCGTCTCTTCTCTTTTTCTCTTGAGACATCAGCTTTATTGTTCTTCTTAGATCCGTCTTTTGGTTTCATTGATTTTTCTCCATTGGTTTTTGTTTTCCATTTCATTGATTTGCACTCGATCTTTATTATTTCCCTTCTTCTACTTTGGTTAGAAGATCAATGGTGCAAACCTACCAGCTGCTCCTCAGAAACCTTATACAGGGTTGTTATGAGTCAGAAGCAACTTGATAGCATTAACAACAAGAACAGTAACTTTGGTTTAATTGCTTTTTTTTTTTTTCATAATTTTTTTTTTTTTTTAAATACAGGCTTACAAGGGTCATTGATGGATACTTTTTTAATATAGGTGTTTAGCATTATAAATTTCTTCCTAAGTACTGCTTCAATTGTTGTTCTTGTTAGGTACTGATGAGTTAGTTCCAACTCATAACAACACTATGTACAATAGAATGAAATGTTACCCGGCCCTGTGGCATCCTCAGAACTGTTATGTTGGAGCATAATGACATTGTTGCAGTTACTGTGTCATTCCATGTCTTTTGGGAGCTTCCTTTTTTTTTTTTTACGGACCCTCTACTTTACAAAGCATGATGCTTTTTTCCGGGGACTGGTCCCACTTGATAATATGTCAAAATACATGAGATGAAGTGTTGCCATCTTTGCTTCTATCGAACATTCTGGATGTACTTCTTCCAAGACAGATTAGTTTGTTCTTCCATGGATTTTCAGTATTCTTCACCAACACCATAATTCAAATGCATCAGTTCTTCTCTGGTTTCTTATAATCATTGTCCATTTTTCAAATGCATGAGGTGATTGATAATACCATGACTTGGGTGAGGTGCGCCTTAGTCCTTAAAGTGGCATCTTTGCTCTTTAAAACTTACAAAAGGTGTTTTGCAGCAGACGTCCCCAGAGTAATACATCATTTGATTTCTTGACTACTGCATGTATGAGTGCTAATTGTGAATCCAAGTAAAATGAAATCCTTGACAACTTTACCCTTTTCTCTATTTATCATGATTTATTGGTCCAGTTATAAGGACTTTTGTTTTTGCTTTAGTGGTATCATGCAAATTTTGATATGTTTTATTGTTGTTTTCTTTCCGTTTGTTCTAAGAGAAAAAAAAAACACCAAATTCAAATATATTTTACAGAGACTTCTTTATTAAGTCTTAAATAGGATAAAGACAAGACAAAGACAATCATCTGGAGGAGGGAGACCATTGGCATGAAGCTATAATGGATTCACAACCATATTGTCAATTACAGAGCAGAGAAAACAAAGGAAATTCATATAAAAATTGTGATTGGGGGCAGATCAATTCGTCACTGTTGCAGGCAGGACTGTTGAAGCAGGGAAGGGACCGTGATGGGGATTTGTACGCTATGTGATTTTAGGAATGTTCACAGGATTGGGTTTGGGGCCCTCTGGTCACTTTGGTCAGTGTATGACTTAAGACCATGAGCTCCTGGTACCCAATTTTCATTAAAGACCTGCCCAGAGAAATCCCTGAGGGATAGACTGTCCGTTCCTGGGCTGGTTCTTGTTAAATGCTGTCAACTGATTCTAGTTCACAGTAACCCTGTATAGGGTTTCCAAGGAACCGCTGGTGGGTATGAATCACTGACTTTGTGCTTATCAATCCAGTGCTTATCCTACAGGACTACACCAGGATCCTGGTTAAGGGTGTGGTAATAATCCACTTTGAAATGCACTCTGAGGACAAATTTTTTTACATTGCCAGTTAGTGGTCAGAAAGAATTCAGTGGAGAAATACTCATACTTTGCAGTGTTGTCCATAGCTTGTCATTATCCACACATGGAAAGCCTTTGTGTAGTCAGTAAAGCACAGGTAAACGTTGTTGTTGTCAGGTGCCATTGAGTCGAAACCGACTCATAGCGACCCCATGCACAGCAGAACAAAACAATGTCCGATCCTGGGCCAACCTCACTACCGCTGCCACACTTGACACCATCAATGATGCCACCTGGCTGATCCATCTCGTTGGGGGTCTTCCTCTTTTTCTCTGACCCTCCATCTTACCCAGCATGACATCCTTCTCCAGTGACTGTTCCCTCCTGACAATATGTCCAAAGTATGAAAGATGAAGCTTAGCCATCCTGGCCTCCAAGGAGCACTCTGGCTGCACTGATTCCAAAACAGATCTATTAGTTCTTTTGGCACTTTTAGTATTCTCCTCCAACACCACAACTCAAAGGCATCAATTTTTCTATGATCTTCCTTATTCACTGTCCAGCTTTTGCATCCATATGAGGTTATTGAAAATACCATGGCTTGGGTCAGGCGCACCTTAGTCCTTAAAGCTGACATTTCTGCTCCTCAACACTTTAAAAAGTTCCTGTGCAGCAGATTTGCCCAATGCAATACGTAAACATTAGCCTTCTGCAAATTAAGTGCTTAGAGTTTAAGCTCTAATACAAGTTCAAAATACTTTAAAAAATTTTTTATTTGATCTATGGATTTTATTTGGATGTGTGCATGTGATTAGATTCCTGGTGTGGCACTGTAGTATAAGCACTGGATGGCTAACTGCAGTCAGCAGTTCAAGCTCAACAGTCATTCCTTGGAAACCGTATTATACAGGGTGGTTATGACTTGATGGCACTTAACAACATGTTTGGAAACAAATTTAGTTTCCAATTGTTTGAGAACTTTTTCAGAAATTTTTCTTTTGTTGGTTTCTGTTTTCACTGTGGTTAGAAAATGTACTTTGTATGATTTGAATACTTGTGCGTTTGTTGAGACTTGTTTTATGGCTCAGGATATGATCTATCTTGGTAAATATTTCCTATGCACTTTAAACAAATGTGCATTCTTCTATTGTTGGGTGAAAATATCAATTTGGTCAAGTTGATTCAAAGTGCTGTTCAAGCTTCTATAATTTTACTGATTTCTGTGTACTTGCTCTAGCAATTATTCAGAAAGGGATATTGAATTTTACTTTAATTGTGGATTTCTTTAAGCATTTGTGTAACATCCTTTTCATGTCATTTTTTACAACTCTTTTCTAAGTACATAACTTTAAGATTTGTTACCCATTCTTGATGAATTGATTCCTGTATCATTAAGAAATTATCTTCTTTATCTTTGACAATATTCTTTGTTCCAGAATCTAATTTGTCTGATAGTAACATACTCATTCCAGCTTTCTTTTGACTGGTGTCAGGGTGCTGTATCTTTTTCCTTCCTTTTACTTTTAATGTATTTGTTTCTATATTTAAAGTATGTATCTTTTTTTTTCAAACTTTCTATTGTGAATTGAGTGAAGGTTTACAGGGAAAATCATTAGCATTCAACATTGTAATGAAGCAAAGTATATATAGTGTTACATTAAACAAATTATATACTTTGCTTCATTACAATGATTTCAATTCCCTTCATGTACCATTGGTTAACAGTATTTACCTCTATTTACTTTATCTCTTGCACTCCTCCCTCTGTCTCCTGATACCTTCATCTTTCTTCTGCTAACCTCCCTCTTGCACTATATTGCCTACCCTGTCACCCATGTTAACATGTTTCTACCCTTTAACCCATGAGTGATTTTCATCCCCCCTCCTCCATTAACCATCGTTGATAGTTTGCTTTATCAAGAAAACTTTTTCTTGTTTACAAAATTGATTTCATGGAGTATTTGACCTTTTGTGACTGACTAATTTCACTCAGCATAATATCCTCCAGTTCCATCCATGTTGTGAGATGTTTCGCAGTTTTATCATTTTTCTTCAATACTACATAGTATTCCATTGTATGTATCAAAATTTGTATACCCATTCTTCTGTTGTTGGGTATTTAGGCTGTCTCCATGTTTTTGATATTTCTCATGTAGATAGTATATTGAAGTATACTGTTTCCTTCTCCATTCTGCTCTGTCTCTTCACAGGTTCATTTAATCCATTTACAGTCAGTGTAATTATCTGTAGTTATCAATTGATTGCTGTCATTTTTCTGTGTATTTTTTCATGGTGCTGCTGGTTTTGTTTATTCCACATCATTCTCTGTTTTGAGTTCATTTTGTTTGTGAGTAGTTTTTTTATTTTCATTCTTATGTTAATGTTTACTAAATCTTTGATTTTCCATATTTTTCTAATTTTGATGTGCAGGTTTATTAATTTTCTTGATATTACCCTGTTAGTTATTGATTTAGTTCCCTGTTAAAAACAATCTGTTTTGTCTTGAAATATACTTGACTTACTTTCCATTTGGAAGTTCTGTATGTACGCTATTCCCTCTTTTTGCTTTGTA